TATTTCAATTAAAGTTATTCTTCGATGCAAAAACATCGGAATACTAATAAATCTACAAACATAATAGAAAACTCTCTTTTTTTTTGTTTTCAAATTCAGGATCAAAACCTGAGTGGGAAAATATTATTTTCCTTAGGTTTAAAATAAACAACGCAAAAAACCGCTATTAATAAGTGTAGGCTTATAGTATGTACTTATAGGTATCTTTGTAAACCTATCTAGATTTTTTATGACAGAAGATAAGACGAAATGTCCAATCTTATTTGAATCCACTGGTTTCGATCGACAAAAGTATCTATTTAGTTTTTCCAGATTTTGTTGTATTGCTCAGAAAATCAAATATTTCATCATTTTGGTAATGAAAGAAACTGAAAATAGCTTTGTTTATTGTAGTTTCTATTGCTAAAACTCAGTTGAAAAACAACATATTCAGAATCAGCGCGAAAATCTACATTGGATCACATACATTTTAGCAAAATCACTTTTCCATGGAAAATGAACTTGTACTCTACTTCAGCATTTTTCTTCTGAAACTTTGCTCGTCGTTCTCTTAAGGTCGATTTTTTATTTGATACAGAAATTGTTGAAGTGTATGTAATCCAGTGTACATTCGATCTATCTAAGGGCGAAATTTTATATTGAAATTCTGCTTTTTTAATTTTTCGATATATACCTAAAATCGATTCGAAAACTTAGGAAAATGACCCTAATTCGGCTCCAAATGGCCACGGGGAGGAGCCCTATGAAGACTTTTCTACTCTCACCGAGACCTCCATGTGCATCCAATATCAGCTCAAACGGCGGGTATCAACTCGTGTAGTTTCCTTGTAGGAAAGTAATATTTTTCTACTCATTTTTTGATGCTGAATGAGAAGAAAAACCTGATTTCAAAGAGTTTCGAAAAAAAAGACTATAGAAACTTAAGAGTTGTTTTGAGAAAAAAATGATTTTAACCAGCTCCATCAAATCATACATAATTCAATAAAAAATAAAATCTATTTCAATTTTATGTTATGTGAACCTTTACAAATAAGAAAATCAAAAACAAAAAATAAGTATTTACCAGCATTGCCTTGATTTCCACCGCCTTTAATAGCAATTGTTTGTTTTCCATTAGCATCCGTAACCATTTCAAATTCAACATCAAGTAAATCAGTTAAACCTTTACGTGCAGCAGCACCTTTTTTTAATCTTAATACTTCAAGACCTGTATTAGGATCAATAACACGTTCAAAATCATCTACATTTAATTGACTTTCAATAATATCTACATTATCTATTGATAAAATTCATTATTAAAGTTTTTTATTTTGTTTTTCTTTCAATTAAATAATTATTAATAATTTTACCTTTTTCTTGTTCTGTAATAGTTCGTTTAATTATTTTTTGTTTGCCAGTAACAATATCAACAACAACTTCAAAAGTTGTATTTGTTCCACCACTTAAATCAGATGATGGAGTTTTAAGAACTATTCTCGATTGACCCGTAATAGCATCAATAACAATTTCAAATTCAGCATTTGCTAATTCTTCTAAACCTTTAGCTTTAAGTACATCAGCTTTCATTCGTAATATTTCACGACCTGTTTTTGGATCAATAATACGTTCAAAATCATTTAAATCAATATCATTTTCTGTCATTGTAATAATAGCTTTACATTAACATCAAAGACATATTTTAATTAAAAAATTAATCAAAAATAAAACTTACGTTCATTTGATTCATCATTATCATCATCACCAATCATTCGGATTGTTTGTTTACCTGTTATTGCATCAGTTATAATTTCAATTCGATTACGATTCATTTGATTTGTTCCATCATCTTTTATACGTATTACTGTTTGACCTGTTGTTGGATCAACAACAACTTCAAAATTTGTTTTTGCTAAACCAGTTAATCCTTTTCGAGCTGCTATATCAGCTTTTAATCTTAATACAGTTTCACCGGTTTTTTCATCTGTTACCAATTCAAAATCGTCAATTGCTATATCTGATTGAATAATAGGAGCTTTAAAAAAAATAAAAAAAGATAATTCGAAGAAAAAAAAACGGACTAGTTCCTACGTGTTTTTGGAACTTCCTTTTTTAATATTAATATTTGTTTTCCAGTATCCGGATCAAAAACAATTTCAACTAAAATACATAGCAACATAAATCTATTATTTAATTTTTTTTTTCTTTAAAAAAAAACAAAATCAAATCTTTCATGATCTATTCAACAAATGATGATTGTAATTCAGCTAAAAAACGTCTTTTAAAAGATCTTATTCAAATTCAATCATTAACAATTCAAGATGGTGTTACAGCAACACCATTAAATGAATCAAATCTATTCGAATGGCAAGCTATTATAACAGGACCTGATGATACACCATATGAAGGTGGTCTTTATGAATTATATATTTCCATACCATGTAATTATCCCGTTAAACCACCAAAAATACGTTTTAAAACTGAAATATTTCATCCAAATATATATAAAAATGGTGATATATGTATTGATATATTACAAGAACAATGGAGTCAAGTAATGAGTATAGAAAAAATTTTAATATCAATTCGTAGTTTATTAAATGAACCAAATATAAATAGTCCAGCAAATCCTGAAGCTGCTTTATTATACAAAGAACATCGAAATGAATTTTATCGACGTATACGTAATGATATTAATAAACAAATAAATGAAAAATTAATTTTACTCACACCATTAAATTCATATGAAAATCTTTCTTCTTTATTGTTTGAAAAATAAATAAATCTTACCTTTAAAATTAATATTCTTTGGTAAATTTTTAATTTTTATTATTTGTTCACCAGTTTGTTTGTCTGTTATTATATCAAAATTCGTATCAATTAAATCCATAAAACCTTTTTGTTCGGCAATAGATTTTCTTAATCGATATACATATTCACCAGTTTTTTTATCAATAATTCGTTTAAAATCGTCAGGTGATATTTCTTCAGAAATAATTACAGCTAATAAATAAAATAAAATATATATAATAATACAAATTTTTTTTTTCGAACAAAATTATATTGAAGGCTTCCCTCAGAAAAGTCGATTTTTCGAGATTTATACATATTCTCATAGTCCTTACAATGGGCTTTAAATTGACATAGTTTCTCTTGTCAAAAGAAGAAGATTCAGTTTTTTTTCTGATGAATATCTTATAACCGAATGAGAAGTTTGAAATTAATTTCAAATGGTACAAATCTTTCTTTAGAATTTCTAGATGGTGGTAAGACAAAACCTTTTGTTTTAGGACTTGACAGAGCCTCGAGAAAATCGGTTTTTTAGAGGAAGTCTTTAGAAGTCTGATCTTGCTGAAAATTTTCATCATAGATGCAGGTTGTGCCGTAGAGTCTATCCTGAAGTTTTCGAGTTTTTCCTTATATGGTTAGAGAAATATTCTCTAATTACTTTTTAATTGATAATCAGCTAAAAGATCCAACACTTTTGTCTATACTAAAAGAACTTATTCAGAAAACAAATCCTTGTAAAAAATCAAAATCAAATGGAAGAGAGAATATGTCCCGTTTTGCCTGAAATGACCCATATACGCTATCGAATAAAGCTTGACGAATAGTACGAAAATCTTAGGTAACATAAGTAAACTTATTTTGACTAGAGACAAAAACATTGTTTTTTTTTCAGAATTAGTCATTCCCAGTGTACTATTTACGCGGGCTAACTTTTCTTAACAATGTTACCTATAATCGATTCTAGTCTAAATTAACATTCTCTGAAATTGGATGAAACATTAAGAAAGTTTATTTCTGAGAGGAAGCCCTTTATTTATATTTATTTATTTATTTACTTTTTGTTTTTTTCTTTGTTGTCTTTCCTTTTATTTTATTTTTTCTTGTTTGAAATGAACTTTTTATACGAATATATTCATCACCTGTATCAGGATCTAAATATATTTCAAATGCTTCTATTGGATAATCCATAAGTGCCATAAGAATTTCATCAGTAATTTGTAAATTTTCTAAATTTCCTCTCATTACTAAAATGAAATAAATTTTTCAAAAGAAAAAAATCATTTCCTTTTCGTTTCTTTTTGTTTTTTTCCTTACAAACATGTTGAAGTGTTTCACGAAGAATTTCTCGATATTTATCATCAGATACACTTGCAAGTCGTTGATCAAGAAGATGTTTTAAATTACGTATATTTTCAATAATTACCAACTGAAAAAAAGAAATAGATTTTACTATTGCGAAAAAGAAAAACTGTTAGTATAATCTCTGCAAGATTCAAATATGAAACACAATGTGGCTGCTATCGTCAATCACCCGGAAATCGTTTTATTCTATCCATATTCGGAACATATTTCTTCGTCATTCTTTTACTTAATTCTTCATGAATGTAAAAAGGAAGGAGTTCATATATTATAACAAGACGCTATTACGTCTGTCACAATCTGCGGGGGAGACGATGAATCCGAATTTCCACTCCGTTACTTCTACACTTTCGTTTAGATCGTATTTCACAAAAGAGAGAAACAAATTGAAATGTATCCTATATAGGAATGTGCAATTTTGATGAGAATACAGACAGTAAGTCTACTGGCATACTGAGCCGGTGTTCACTGAAGCATTGACACATGTATACAGTACGGATATGTCAGATAAATCAGTAAATACCGATCCAGTGTGAGTTTTCGGTGAACAGTCTATTGAAAGTGCACATGCTTAATCCTATATACCAAAATCAAGAAAAAAATTTTTCAAAAAAGTAAACTAATCATTAATATAGAAGGATTCGATTAGATTAATTTTCTTGATCATAGTGACGAAATCAGATTCCAATCTTGTATTATAATGATTATGCAATGCATTACGAATGTCCAGTGATTCACACTAGAGTAATAGGTTTTTAGAGTTAAAAGAAATTTAAAGATATTAGTTTATCATTTGGAATAAATATATATTGTTAGCATCAACACGGAGCTTTTACGTCCAATGTCAGATCCGTTTGATATCAGATTGGGTGATAGAAGTGATGTTAAAACTCGAATTTATCTGCAGATCGATGTTGTATTCAGATTCTTATTGATGAACTGAGGCCGAACAACATTAGTTGATCAATTAAATATTAATGGGTGAAGTTAATGGATGGTTTTATATACGAGAACTACTTCAATAGAAAACTGTTTATCTTTACTCAGTTCGTCTATTGATAAGTGTATTAATTGAAATGCCATTACATGGCATAAGTTCATCCATAAGAATCTGAATATGATATCGATCTAAAGACTCACCCACATCCTTCCATCCGCTATGAGATGTATATCTTAGTTTGAACACTAGCATATTATAATATATACCTGTGCATCTTCAGCAAGATGATGTCCAGAATCAGAACGTTTTAAAATAATTCTAGCTAATGCTTGTGCATGATTGGCAAGTGCTGTAAGAAATTCTTTATCTTGTAAATCGACATTACTTACTAAAAGACGAAAACACAACAACTAATTTTAATTAAAAAAAACAGCGAAAATTTTTATATATTAAATTCTATACATCTTCGTTGTTTAAATAAATCAAAAAGACTTTTGACTTGTTTTATATAATTTGGATCAGCACCACTTTTTATTAGATCATTTATCCACATATCATAAACCCAAATTGTAAAACTTAATGATGCATCAATATCACCCGCATGAATATTAATAGCTGAAAAAAAAACAAATAGAAACAAATAATAAAACAAATATTATCGATCATTAATACTTCGTCGAATCAATGTTTCTGTATCACCGAGTGGATCTAAATACAATCTTTAATATCGATGGCAATATTTAAATGATAACATACGTTTATGTCCATGTATACCAGAAGGTCGATAATCTGGTTTATATAAATAAGGTCGTTTGACTATTGGTGGTGTTGGTGGTCGTTGATACGCCCAAGACGTAAATGTAAAAAGTGGTGATTCTATTTTAAAGTAAAACTTTTAAATTAGAAAGAAAAAATGCTTCTGAATACAGCCGCTTTGGAAACTCACATGTGTTCTTTAACTTCATTATACTACTAATACAAAATAAGTTAAGTGAAAAATCTCTAGCAGACTATAGTTGTTTTTCCAAGGATCATTGATCGCCAGAGAAACGACATGTCTTATCTAGTTCTGTATTTCGAACAGAATTTTTTTTTACTGATATAGCTATGCGATCGCTGTTTTTCATTTTTGTATTCCGTTTTTCTTAATTTAACATTATTATTTTTCTTTACATTGATTTAATTAGCAAATAAGTCTGTTTTACATATTCACTATTTTCAGAGTAGATGTTAATACATTATTATGCATCCTGATAAGCTCACAAACATTGATATTGATGATTTCCTAAAGTTATAACTTGATCATGTGACGACTGTGGCAAATTTTGGAATGTTCTAGAATATTTAATTATTGTCGTTAATGCTGTTTAGTGCCTTTTTTTGTTGGTAATGGACTCTGGGAAAAGGATCTAACACCTGGTGTCCTTAGTGACCAAGGTCTACAATGGTGAGGGAAGAAGCAAAAAAAACTTCGACTTAAATCTGACACTCAGTATTTTTTTCGAAAATATATGTGAGTTTCACAAAAAAAAATTTTCTTTTTCAAATAATAACATACGAGATTCGAGAACTGATCGAGTTTTATTATTTGAATGAATTGTAGTACGTTGTTGTGGTTGTTGTTGAATTGCTTCACTATGCATAGATAATGTTGAATGAAGCATAGCTAAAAATAAAAATGAATGATTAGTTTCAAATTTCAATTAACATATTTATGTTAACCATGATCATGTATTTCTTGAGCAATTCGTTTTTGATGATGATCTAAGATAGATAGTTTTATTTTAGTTTACTTTTTCTAAATTCTATCTGTATATATTTACGTTTACGTCCAGTAAATGCTGAAAGTCCAATAGGTGGTGGAGGAGGAATCAATGTATAAGATTGTGTTACTATTCGTCGTCGTTCAAGAGGTACTTCATAACTCCATGATTGCAAACCAATTTGACTATTAAAATCACCGCCAGTTAAATTTAAAGCTAATAGAATATTTTTTTTTGTAAATTAATCTAATTTCTTTGTTTTTTTAATTCTAATATTTAATCTTACTTCGTCGAATGACTGTTTCATCGGGTAATCGTTCACGTTTG